AAAAAAAAAAGGCAATAGAAAATTAGCTAATGTCTTAGAAACACATTCCTTCTTAAGTGATCATTTATTATACATTTCATAGAACATGGGTCTGGGAGTAGAGCCTGTTTGCAGTACAGGCTCCAACTGCTGGTTCTGGAAGCAGGTAAGAATCAAAGCAGACCTTCTCTCTCTTCCTCTTCCCCATTTACCTTTGCTTTTGGGTCACACAGAGAAAACAGGGAAATCGGCTGTTGAAAGGGATGTTGAATGAGGGGAAAGATGGGCCGAATTTCCTGGTGCAGCTTGAAGGCTCAATTTTATGTTTTAAATACTCTATTGAAGGTCTACATAAAATAATTTTGGAACAAAAAGCAATAGGTCTTAAAAATTTTTTAAAGATGTGGAAACCACATTAGAGGGTTCCTTCACAAATGGTACTACGAGTATACACAAATTGATCAACCCAACAGTAGGCTGAGATGAAAAGATATTTGCATTTGGGTAAGTGTTAATAAGATGAGTAACAATGTCAGGTTTGCAAAGTCAAGTTGGCCTCTGATCTTGGAGCACTATACCCTCTAGGCTAGATAAACTCTAATAATTATTAACTGGTATTCAGGAGACAAATCACTATACAGTGATGGCCTGATCATACAAGGTACAAAAGACACCCTACATATATTATGAATGCTAAAATAATAACTACATAGTTCATATACGAACTTAAACAGTAGATAGTAACTAACTAGAATTTGTGGAATTTCATAAATACCCTCGTGCTGGAATATTCATGTGCCTTGCCGACTTAACAACCTCCTCAAACTTCTCCATGCTTTCTTCAATAGAACAGTTAATATTCTTCTTGCTAAAGGATTCAGATGCGGCACCAAAAACTGATATCTCGGTGGCTCCGGCAGCAACCTGAAAAAAGAGAATTAAGGGCAAAAACAATTAACTTAAAATATGTAAATGATAACAATAGAAGAAATATTAATTACTCAATAAAGGCATACATGTATTCATTAACATTTTCCTTGGAATTCACAATTAGAGTCTTCTCATCTTGCCACATAAGCTCTTTTCAAACTTAAAAGTATTTCGTGATAACAAAATAATTCCCCAAGCTGCAACACTCTATGAATCTATGAATCTATGAAGTACACAATCTATGAAGTACAGAAAACAGTGATGATGTTCCAATTTAATTTCATCTTTCCTAAATTATGCATAGGTATCAAAAATATTTTAACTGTAATTATGGAAAATACTGGCATCCCAATAAAGCCTTTTAATATCTATGGAAAACATTTTTAGACCGATTATTAAAGAGTAGTAAATGCTTTCTGTTCTCCTCTTCCTATAACCTAACAGAAAAATGTTTTTCCAATTCATCATTTAGACTATGCGCCAAATTTTTTTCCTGTCTCTTAAGCTAGCTTCCATTGTTTCATACCTTGACTGCTACAACATACTGTTGTATGTCTAATGTCTTAATCCTCTTGCCTAGTCTTTAAATCCAAAATATTAACCTAATATTTTTCCCTTTTGCCATCTTAAGTCCTTTCCCCAGACTTCTCCAGTGACTTGTTTTCAAATATCACATTTCCTCATTTTCCACCTGGATTTTTTAAGACTTTCTATTAATGTATCCGTAGCCCTGTGCCTAGATTCTCCTCTCTTTCGGATACCCTATTAACGTATTAAGAAAAAAAAAAATCTTTTTTTTTAATCCAACATTAAAAAACACCCATTGGCTTCCAGTCCTCCACCAAAAATAAAATTTTAACTTCTAAAATCAAAATTCTATTTTAATACTTACTGTGTGCCAGAATTTTAGTACTTTTGTGTGTTCTATCTGTAACCCACAATCTTACCCATTTTACAGACGAGAAAACTGTGGCTCAAAGAGGCTAAATAACTAGCACAAAGTCCCAAAGCTACTATAAGTTATCAAGTCATGCTTTGAGAACGGGCATGCCTGACTCCCAAGCCATGTGTTCCATCCCATTATTTGCCCTTCCAAGCTATTGTTGAGGGTGTACTCTCAGTTCGTGTCTTTTTCAAGGTGGAGACATTCGTTACTTTGTTAGGACCAACGACAGCAATATTTATAATTCCTTAAAATGCCTCTTTCTTTAGAGTAGAATAAAAAACTTACACCAAAATTAACAAAAGAAGAATGGTTTTAACAAAGATACACAACAGGTGATATATCAATGAGCATCTACAACCTCAACTTTATGCAACACAGTCCCAAATACAAAAGTGCAAAATAATAATTAACACCAGAAATAGCTGGTGAAAAACTTTTACAACAAACCCATTTAAGCACAACACCTCAAGCCTTCTTAAAATTGCCTTGATTCCTCTTGTATGTGTCATTATCAAAGATTTTTTTTCACATATAAATTCTTAAATCACATAGGATTGGGAGAAACAAGCCAGAAGGGGAGAATAGGTAAAGTTGTTACAGGCAGTTGTAAGTAACAGTGGTTAGCTTCACCTACACAGGGAGGGAACATCAGCAACAAAAAGCTGATCCAAAAAAGTTGGCAAAAATGATCCACTACAATAACACTAATATCGTACTGAGAAATGTTTAAGTTAAATTCTGTATTCCTTATTTACGCAGGAAACACAAAATATACTTTCAAAAGAACTTCAGCAAAATGGATAACTATTTTTGTGTTTCGATTCCTGAATGGTTAAAATGGAAGGGCCATTTATGTGGAACACTTTAGTCCATACCAATACCATGGAGTTACAGATCACCAGGTATTCGTGTGCATACATTAGCATTTATGCAGGGTAACAAGGGAGCCACATTGGATACTGTTTTAACTTTGTAAAGATCCTTAAAACAGCAAGAAGCATTGATTTTAAAATAATTCGCAGCACACTTACAGCACGGTGAAAACCCTGAAGATTAGGAGTAAGGACAGGATATCGAACTCCTGGGTATTGATGAATGCCTTTCATCACTTCAGTGTGATCAGCCATCTGAAATATGTAATAGTTACATACAAATATTTAACTTTAAATATTTTGTCAAGCAAATGTTTCATTTTTCAAGAAGGTTATAATTACTCATGCAATTATATTCTGAAATTAATGTCAGAAATAATAAAGCTCTGTCAAGATAGCTAATGATAAGTAGTTCGTAAGGTCATAAATACATAAAAACTAGATCTGGGTTTAACTTATTCACATAATAGGATCTGGTTAAATGAGTGATTATGAATAGTCAGCAACTCTCTACTTATTTTCACTTGGCTGATCTTTGGTCTCCTTCTTTTATTTCACAGCCCAACCTTCAAATACTCCTGAGACTGGGTAAAATTTTAAAAGCAGTATGCCATGCTTTTAACTTCCATGTGAAAATCTCACATCCAAATAATTTTCAATGTATGAAATTTTACATTATTTAGTAAAAAATTCCATATCTTTTAGAATACTTTAACAAGGGTGAAATCATAGTATATATGTTATTTGGTTAGCATGGATGTTTTAGTAAGAGTCATAGTGTTCTCTGAATTATCATCAGATTACTATTTGTTCTTATAATGCAAACAAATGCATACAATGGAGTAACAAACAGGAAAATTTAACCCATCTCTTCAAGACTTTATTTTTCTATATTTTCTGTGATCCTATAAGAAATCAACTTTATAGAATCAAAGTTACTAGTTTGCTACAAAGTCTATTATTTAGCCTCCTAGAGCAAATAACTGATGATCAAATCTCATAATCAGCACATAGACAAATTATCATTGACATACCATGAGCTTTCTATAATTCAGAATAAATTATGGCATAAACAATAAATATAAGAAATAATATATAAACAATGAAAAGTATAAAAAATGAGCATGGGGAAAGCTATAGAAACATACATCAAACCAAAATCTTTATCTTCAATATGGGAATGGATAATGAAAGACTTTTTACCTATATATCTTGGCTTGTTACAACAAGTATTTTTAATTTTAAAATGCAGAAAAAATTAAAGTACAAATGCTTTTCTTAATAGAACTACACAGTTTAAATATATTAAAAATTACAATATTTACTCCTATTAGCCCCTTAGTCTTACCCTCAGTGAAATGCCAGTGGAATTAAGTAAATGAGTTTTAAATACATTTTAAATTGAAAATTAAATATTTAAGATGCAAAAAAAAAAAGTGCCTCCCATTGACTGCCATCCTACCTTATTGACATTTAAGTCTCCAAGTTTCATACAATCCAAACACATTTACTTCTGTCTAAAACATGATTCTTGCTTACTTATTTCTTAGAGATCACATCCACTGTCTGCCAACCAATAACTGCATTCTTTACAACTATCCCCCATGGTCATCTACAGTGCATAAAAGCCAATGCTCTCATTTCATGCCGAGACTATTTGACTTTAAACCAGATGTTTATTAAGCACCTACTGTGTCCAAACCCCTATGGTAGACCTTGTGGTAAATATAAATACAGGAAAGTAAGGTCCTTGCACTAAATAATTTGGGGAGACAGCACAGATGCACACAGAAACATAACCATTCAAAGGAATATAGTGGTTGCCAATCCGAGCACAGGTTGTAAGAGTTCAGAATGGGGAAAGGTTAGTAGGACCTTTAATAGCCTAGGAAAATTTTAAGAGGTATGGAATACAAACTGCAGAACATGACTACAGCATATTAAAATTTAAAAAGATATGGCCACAACAGTATTTCTAATTCCACATGCTCTTCCAGAAGTTCAACAATTCCTACCAATAGGTGAACTATATTTACTTCCCACTTGAACCTGGGCAGATCTGTGATTACTCCAAGCAATAGAATATAGCAGAAATAATAATATGTGACTTCAGAGCCTAGGTCATAGAAAAGTACACAGCTTCCATATGGCTTTCTCTTTGGGGGAAGCCACTGTGGGGAAATCAGCTAACAGGCTGTGGAAAAAAACAAACAAACAAACAAACAAAAAAAAACATTAGCTCATGCAGAGAGGCCATGTGTGGCAGCTAATGTGGAAAGTAACATGTGAAAAGAAACTAAGGCCCCCAGACAACAACCAGCATCACCCCTAAATTTGTGACTGAAGAAGCATTCAGATGACCTTAGCCTCCAGCATTCAAGTCACTCACATGAAGCCCCAGACCTTGTGGAACAAACAAGGTGCCCTCCTGGACCCACCCTCAGATTTCATGAGCAAAGCAAATGCTTATTTACATCACTAAGTTCTCAGGTAATTCATGACATAGCCATAGAAGCTGAAACACAGAAAAATCAATAGGGTTGGAAAGGAGGGAGGGGTGGGGCAGCAGTAGCAATACATAATCTGGCTAGAGAAGATTATGGGTAAATAATGTGGGAATGGATTATAAATGAAGATAGGGGACTATACACTGGGATGTGTCCTTGAGTTAGGTTCACATTATTCTAAAAACACAGCATTTATCATGAGGTCAACAGGAAAGCCATGGGGAGTATGTGTTGAATTAGCCAAAGACTGGGATAAATGCAGTATTTTTGGAAAGATACATCTGGGAGACATGCAAAGGGCAGTATGGAAAAGAAGTGAGGCAATTGTCGGGCACTTGTGAGAATGCAGCATGCAACAAGTTCCAGAGAAATGGTACTGGGAATAGAAGTCCCAAGAAAAATTAATAGGACACACAGTGGGATATTAGTGTAAGGAAGAGGACTTTACTCAAAAAATGTAATCCTCATTATTATATAGCCTTCTTTTTATTTAAAAAAAAATTTAATGCTTATTTATTTTTGAGAGAGACAGAGTGTGAGCAGAGGAGGTGAAGAGAGAGAAGGAGACACAGAATCTGAACCAGGCTCCAGGCTCCGAGGTGTCAGCACAGAGCCTGATGCGGTGCTCGAACCCATGGACCGTGAGATCATGACCTGAGCTGCAGTAGGACCCTCAACCTACTGAGCCACCCAGGTGCCCCATATAGCCTTCTTTTTAAATTATTTAGCATTTGTGCATATTTCAACACAGTCCTTCAGTACATATCTGTGAATTTAGCCTTTAGGCCTGATGCTACAGGGTGAACTCTATCTGTATCTCTCTCTCTCCCTCTTTCTCTGTCACACACACACACACACACACACACACACACA